TCGGGAAAGGGTGCGTCTTATACATGGGGAAATATGGTAAATAAAATAAAAACACACATGTAAAACTATACAAAACTCATGATCTCCTATCTGTAATTCTGAAAGAAGACAGGTAGTGGCCAGGGGCTGGGAGAAAAGGGAAATGAGGAGTGACTGCTAATTGGGGCTGAGTTTCTCTTTGGGGTGATGAAAATGTTCCAGAATTGGATGGTGGTGATACTTGCACAGCTTTGGGAGTATACTGAAAACTGTTGAACTATATACTTTTAAAGGATGATTTTATGGTATAAATATATAAATTGTATCTCAATAAAAAAGAACTAATCATGGCATATATTTGTTAACTAGAAAAATGAGGCTAAAGAGAGGAAACAGGGGCAATATTAAAGAGAAGCTCTCCGGGGAATGGGAGTCATATGTACACTTAGATGAAGTGCTGGATATTTGGGGAAAATGGTATGCCCATATCATGCGCTCGAATGGCACAGTGCCATAACCACTTTCAAGAACAACATGTCAGTAGCTAGAAAAAGGGGAAATGGGCATTCTCAGACCCAGCAATTCCACTTCTAAGCAGCTTTCTGTTTCTGACTGGAACCCAGACTAAGAAATATATTTTACATCATGCCCAAATAAAGTTGAAACTAAATTTATATGTGTACTGCACTCTGATGCTTTCTACTCTGTTCTAGTTTTTTCTTCTTAAAATACTGGTAACAAGCCAATAAATTGATTTCTCTATCCCTAATGGGTCATTGTACAGTTCAAAAAACTGTGGCCTGGAGACACACTTGCAGCACACTTACTCAAGGAGACATTTGGCAGATTGCTCACTGTAGCAAAGATTATAAAAATGAAAAACAAGGAAACAATCTAAATGCTCACCAGCAGGAAAATGGGTAAATCAAATATGATATATTTATATGATAATTACTACATAACAGTTAAAAGGAATAAACCAGAGCTACATATTTAAGAATGCTGATTTTTAATTAAAAAGTAAAAACAAATGAATTATCTACTTCTTAAACCAGATAATTTCTAGGCTAAAAATCTCGCCAAGTATATAAAAAAATAAGACAATCATGCTAAACTTTTATTTGGCTAACTTCTAAAGAATTGCTTATCAGTATAGTATTTATCCAGTATTATACTGATTTTTTAAAGTACTCCTGATCCTCTTGAACATAACGTTTTTTAGAAGGGTAGGAAAACCAATGAGATATTCCTATATACTCTTAAAATGGCCAAAACCCAGAAAACTGATAATAATGAAATGCTGACGAGGATGTAGAGCAACAGGAACTCTCATTCATTGCTGGGAGAATGCAAAATAGTACAGCTACTTTAGAAGACAGTTTGGCAGTTTCTTACAAAATGAAACAGTCTTAGCATACAATCCACCAATCATACTCCTTGTTATTTACCCAAATTAGTTGAAACTTATGTCCACACAAAAACTACACAAAGATAGCAGCTTTATTCATAACTGCCAAAACTTGGAAGCAAACAAGATATCTTTCAGTAGGTGAATGCATAAACTGTAGTACATCCATAGAATGGAATACTATTCGGTAATAAAAAGAAATGAGCTATCAAGTTATAAAAAAAGGAACCATAGAAGTACACTGCTACGTGAAAGAAGCCAATCGGAAAAGACTACACACTGTACGATTTCAGCCATATGACATTCTGGAAAAGGCAAAACCATGGAGACAGTAAAAAGATCAGTGGTTGCCAGGAGTTCAGGGAGGAGGGGATAAGTGGAGGGAGAAGCAAATAGGTGAGCAGAGAGGATTTTTAGGGCAGTATACCTATTCTGTCTGATAATGGTAGTAGCTACATGTCATTATACATTTATCAAAACCCACAGAATGTACAAAGAGTGAGCACTAATGGAAACTATGGGCTTTAATTAATGATAACATATCGATATCGGTTCATTTATTATAACAAATGAATCATACTAATACAAGATGTAAATAATAGGGGGAAGCTGGGAGGGGAATAAAATGTGAGAACTCCACACTTTCTGATTAATTTTCCAAAAACCTAAAATTGCTCTAAAAAATGAAGTCTATTAATGCTCTTAAAGGACAGGAAACCAAAATATTGTTGGAAAAATGGAGCTTTATAGGAGTCAATTCAACAAAATAAAAAAATAAGGGAGCTATAAATGTCAGATAACTAAAAGCAAAGCTTGTTTACTAACATTGTAGAGATGTCCTAAACTATTAAGAATATACCAGATGCCCAAAAAATAAAAATTAAATCCACCAGTTCTATACATAGTCAAAAAAATCTTAAAAAGGAATTATGAAAACATGTACCACACATCACCGGAAATGTAGAAAGAGAGAATAATAGAATAATACAGAAAATTGGAACTGACATGAAAGTCGAAAGGCCTCATTGTCATGCCAGCTCTAAGAGTGGCTATATCACCAACAGCAGACCCTTAATTAACTCAATGGGCCTCATTTCAGCATCTCTAAAATGAAAAGACTGGACAGCCAGTCAAAATGGAGAATAGAGACTGGATTTACCTTCCCACCTAAAACCAAAAAAATAACAGACAAAATACATAAAACAACAACTTCAAGACACAAGACATCAGATAACAGAGGATAAAGATCCTTGAGAGAATGGAGATAGATGAAGTGAGCCAGATAGTTGCCCCAGCTTACCAGGCAAGGCACAGGGAGGAGGAACCAGGCAGAGCCCAACAGATTCCCTGAATTGAGAGGACAGAACTGAGAGTCAGGGAGACCCCGGAAAGTGGAGTTCTCAGGCAGAACACCTAAGAGGAGAGCTACAGAGGCAACCTCAGGGATGCACAGGGTCCCCATCGAGTGCTCAGCTGAGCACTGACCAGCTCATGTCCATGAGGCTAGAGTCTACCTGAGGCTGGAGAAAGAACCACTCAAAGGTTTAGAGAAAACAGTACACATTGCTCCCAGAGAGCCAGGAAGAGTGCCTGTTCCCTGCAATCAGGCTGCAAAAACTCATAATTTTAGAGTACTCAGACAAGTCTTGCCTCAGT